TCTCTCTCTCTCTCTCTCTCTCTCTCTCTCTTTCTCTCTCTCTCTTTTTGGCAGAACCAGGGATTGAACTCAGGCCCTTGCACTTGCCAGGCAAGCACCCAACATTCTCTTTTTAAAGACTTCTTGCTAGTTTTGTCTTCAGGTTCAAAGTTTACTTTCTCTTTGGAAGACTATTAAGTATAGTAAAAGAAAACCACAGGCTCCATATGGATGTGTGTAGAGACACAGCATTATTCCTTATTATAAAGCTGGCATTTCGTATCTGTGGTTTCCACACCCATGGACTACTTATGGAAAATATTTGAAAAAGCCAAAAATGTAAGAACATGCCTCTGCCTGCAATAAACATATACAGACTTTCCCCTTGTTATTATTCCATAGATAATAACAGCTGTTTTCTTAGTACTTGTATTGAATTAGATACCAGAAATAATCTACAGATAATTTAAAATATATGGGAGACTATGTATCTATTACACACAAACACTATGCTATTTTACATAAGGGACACGAACACCCAAGGCATTTATAGCTGGAGGATAAATGCCACAAATAGTGAAGAATGACAATGATATCATATTCAAAAGGCTTTCTGAATTCCTAATTTTTCCTTACATTATTATATGAAGTATTTATGAAGTGTGTATAATTGAACAAAGCCTGTACATACAAAAAATGAATGACGCTTGACCTCTGTCTGCTAGGAACACAAAATCTAGGGAAAATTACTTTCAGAGATGTCACAGTGCTAGTTCTTCTTTTTCACTGGGATACAATATCTCAGTATCCCTCTGGAATAGTAAAGATGAGAATTAATACTCGTTTTCTTTTGGGAACAAGGAAATTTTGCTTCAAAAAGGCAGATTGGTGTTATAAATTATATGATTAGGCAATGTCAGCTATTTTGGCCAAGGTAACCAAAAATTTTGGTTTTCTGTATATGCATTGCATGAACATATGTGAGGTATATATTCAACCAAAGGTCAGGTTGTTCACTTGCTGCTGTCTTGGGGTGGTTAAAATGTTAGTAAAAACCCCAAACCTTGATGCTAAACCTATGATAAAATAATGGCACCTATTATTGCTCAGTGCTGACACTGCTCAGAGCTAACACTGCTGTATAGAGACACAGAAAACAATTCCACACAGTCATTAGATTTTGTGATATGATTATTAAACTATGAATAGTTTTTTTAAAAAAACCTAACATTATGATATATCACTTCATGGAATTTTTCTGTAACTTTTCTATGTGCTTATACACTAAATTGTATATGAATGTGTGGCACACAGATATTGTTTAAAGAGTACATATCCCTCAATGGCTTTATACATATGAAATTTTCTATTCACTTTGCAACTCTTTCAAGCTATATTCATTATTTTAAGTTCGCAGAACCCATCTGAAGTAAGTCAATATATATACATACTTTGTAAGTTCCTTATATAATATACATATTTTTAGCTTCAGTTTCAAGCTTTTTTGTGTGTGGGTACCAGGAATTGAACTCAGCACCTTGTGCTTGCCAGGCAGGTGCTGTGCTGCTGAGCTATACCCCTGGCTTTGTAAGAAGTGTTAAGAAGAAGGAATGTGTGAGTTTCTTGGAAGTGTCTGCATTTTGGTTGATCTTCATGAGATGTTATACTGTTACTGTATAGGGATCTAGGAGGTTCCCAAAGTGGTGATTAAGAATCTAGACCTTCTATACTCATAGAACAGTTGACAGATTGCAGGTTGGCTGACTTTTACTGTGGAAGAAGAATTTTCAGGATAAGAAGGTAAAAGGCATAGAGGAATTTATAGGGCAGGAATTTAAAAGTACATACTCAGAGTGGGGAGAGGGGAAGAGAGAGAGAAAGAGAGAGAGAGAGAGAGAGAGAGAGAGAGAGAGAGAGAGAGACAGACAGACAGACAGACAGACAGACAGAGACAGAGAGAGACAGAGACTGATGGGGGCAGAGACACAGGCAGGTAGGGGGCATTCGTAGCCTGGGGCTAGGTTACTTATGGGAAATTTGTATGTGGAACTTCACATAATTAGTGAATCTATGGAAAGGGGATTTGACTTACAGATGAAAGGTAGCAGCTCTTTCTGTGGGGTGTGCCCATTTGCCAGTGAAAGGAAATGGCTCAGACTTACTGTATCTTGGGACAAGAAAAACTGCTTTTATACTGGTCTTGCATCCAGAAGCTATGGCTTTTATTTATTTATTTATTTATTTATTTATTTATTTATTTGATACAGGGTCTTGCTACATAGCTTGGATTTGTAGTGATCCTCCTGTTTCAGCCTCCCCAGCACTGGGATTATAGGCATGCACAACCAAGCCTGATTTTGGTGTCTGGCTCAGTGTGGGGCCTACAAGGCACTCAGTACTGGGGATTGAACTTGGGTCCTTACACTTGCCAGGCAGGCACTTAGAATGCCAAACTATCTCCCCAGCTATGTTTTTTATTTATAAAATTACAATTTTCCTTGTCTGTACCTATTTTTATTTCTTCCATCCTAGCTCAATGCCTCAATTTTTCCTTATTCAAAGCCAATGAAGACATTTAAGGTGAAGGAATAAGAAAGGGTGAAGTTCACCTCCACAGGTCTGATGTCTTGGAAAGTAGCTGTTGAGTACAGAAACACTTCTGTGTATTGCTCTTCCAGTCCAGTTTAGAAGACAGAGCATACTAATTGGGTACTTTTTGGTTAAGTTAGAGTTTCTGACTGAGGTCAGCCAGCCCAGAGTTCTTCAATCAGACAATGTTTAGCCTGCCATTGTGCATTCTACTTCTTATAGATTTCTTTGGCCTCTTGGTTTTCTTTCAATTTGTCCACGCAGAGACATCATTGCTTTCCATTATTGTGCCAGAACTGAGCCTGTTCTGGGTCATTGTGAAGTTCTTGGCCCAAAGAATACATGGTTTCTCAGTACCTTAAACATTTTTGTTTTGAGTTCTTTTTCTAGGGAGAAAACAGCAATACATTGCAGAACCTCTCTGAGTCATTTTATCTTTTTAAATGAATTTATCCTCAATTGACAAGAAAGATTATAATACAAGTATTATTTTTGACTGTCTAATGGGAATGGTAGGAAGCAAATAATTGCCAGCGAAGAGTAAGGCTAGTAATCTAGCCCAGAATGCCTGCTTTACAAAGATTTCTCAATCCAGGAACATTCTTTTTGATCTTCTCCCTGTAATTTGTAAGTCATCCAAAGCAGATGGTAATTTTCCAGCAAGTACTTGATTTTCCTTGTCTGATTTTCTACATCGCCCAGGACACAATTCAAGGTTTGTTTGGCACAACCATCTCCCCTCCCCTCCTCTTCCCTCCTCTCCCCAGTCTTTCTCCCTCCTCTCCCCTTCATTTTTTCTTTTCTTAAATCACTGCATTATATTTTAGAGTCTTGATAACAGTACAAGTAAGTAGAATCGGTTGTGTAAAGTTCTCAAGGAGAAGCCCAACTTTCTAATACGGGGATACAGTCAATCTCTGTGAACTTGGAGAGAGACTATGCATCCTCACATAGCTGGGCTTTGTGCCTAGAATATGTCTCAAAAATGATTGCTAACAAGACACAAATGTATGAAGATCACATAAATACTCTATAAGGTGGGAAATTGCTCTTTTTATATTTATTTATTTGCTCTTTTTATATTTAATAGACTGAAAATGCTTACACTTAGGAGTGTTGCATATTGTCGTGTAAATAGAATAAATTCAATTGTTTTATCTGCCTGCTTTAGTGAACAAAATTTACCCTTTGCCCTATTATTTTCCTTTTTTTTTGCACAACCGGGGATTGAACTCTGGTCCCTGTGCTTGCCAGGCAAGCGCTTATTCCACTGAGCTATCTCCCCAGCCCCAACCCCA